GAAATCTAAACAAGAAGTTCAAGAAGAAATGACAAGAACTAGATTATCAGATGAGTACAAGAGCAACGCCAAGAGAATTGAGCTAGAGCTTCAAGAGATGTGTTGTCGAGACTGAAGAACTCTTCAGCCTCGACTCCTATATATACTACTGGCTTATGGTTCTAAGGAAGCGCATCAAGAAGCTTCCCAAGAACTATGAAGCTTCTCGAGCAACTACCCAAGAGCTAGGAAGCTTCTCAAGTAACTTCCTAGAATCTACTAGAATATTCTAAGAATCATCTAGAGCCTTCTAAGGGAATCTTCAAAGAATCTTTAGGGAATCTTTAAAGAATATTCTAAGAGAATATTCAAGGAATCTTCTGGAAGTTTCTAGAGACTTCTTTCTAGAAGGTTCTAGAAACTTGTCTCTAGAAAGGTCTAAGGACTATGTCCCTAACAACAGTTGGAGTTCATAGCAGACATTATGCGACAGATCTTTATTTTCTTGGGTTAGTACTGATTAACAACAACATTGCTTCTCAGAGACCTCGAAGCTAAAGGAGGGGGTGATGTTAGGAACATAGTCCTTAGAACTTTCTAGAAACAAGTTTCTAGAATCTTCTAGAGACAAGTTTCTAGAACCTTCTAGAAGCAAGTCTCTGAAACCTTCTAGAAGCTTCTTAGTTGGTAGAAGATGTTAGGGATATAGTCCTTAGAACCTTCTAGAGACAAGTTTCTAGAACCTTCTAGAAGCAAGTCTCTAGAATCTTCTAGAAGCTTCCTAGTTGGTAGAAGTTGCTTGAGAAGCTTCCTAAATAGGAGTATATATTGGAATCAAGGCTGAAGAGTTCTTCAGTCTCGACAACACATCTCTTAGAGCTCTAGCTCACCTCTCTGGTGTTGTTCTTGTATTCATCTGATTAATCTAGTTCTTGTTAGTTCTTCTTGAACTTCTTGTTAAATCTCGAGCTTATATTTCTGTGTCCGTGATAGATAGATGATATAAATGTCTATTCCTATTGGTCAAAAATCATGACCAATGGACTTGAAGGAGATTGCCTGAGGCCATATTAGGGATTAGGGTTAGTCTTTTGGAGGGATTTGAATATGAGAGGCTAAGGTCAGCAAGTTCAAGTTTTTGGCTATGGTTTTAGTAGAAATTTTGAGTCATTTGAAGTTTTTATGAAAAAAATATAGGTGCTTGAAGTCAAGGTGTCGGTTTTGTATCTACTGTCAGTCTTTTGGATATAACGCATGTATACAAAAAGCAATTTAGAATCAATAATTAGAATTAAAGAGAGCACTTTTGCGACTATACTTTACGCATACTGTTTAATGAATTCTAAGCTAAGGTGAAGGAGATATTGGAAGTTAAAATCAGTGCTTGGAATCTAAAGAGTAGTAAGTGACCTAAATTGCTAGTGGTTGTATTTTAACCTATATCTTGTACAATTTGACAAGATTTTGGCTAAAAATTTCCAAAAATGTGTATTTTCATGTTATTAAACTTTATACATAAGTTTTGTGATATTTGAATTTAAAATTTTGTGAGATAGAAAGAAAATAGTACTCAAGTGCTTGTGAATTAGGATTTTAGAGCATCTGCTAGGAATTTTAAGATGCGAGATGATTGGTAGTGAATTTATAATTGAATTTTTTTGAAATAAATCTTAAGGATAACAATAAAACAACACATCTAATTTTTGCAAGATACATTTTTTATATGTGCATCATATAGCCAATGTTTAATATAAATCATCAACATGTGTAACAAATGGCAAACTTGTTGGCCAAGTTTTTAATCTATTAATCATGTATAAATAAATACAAATTCAAATTTGTATCTATGAAACTTCTTAGAAGCTATTCCATAAAATATTACCTAATTTATTTATTTTTATTTACTTCTATCTAATTCTTTTAATTTAAGTAAATATATATATCTATAGCAATTATTTAAATCCACCAAGCAATCAAAGATTTGAAATTTGGTAGCACAAATTGTAGCAATTGTGATTCCTATTGTTAAGATAAGACTTTTGTCTCTACTATTCTTTCTAAGTTATTTTAAAAATATGGCCATAAATACTTTTAAGAATGAATTTAGATGATGTAGGAGTCATAAATTCTTTTCCATCAAAGATACAAATAAAAAGAAAATACTTTTAGATAGAAGTAGATCTATAAATCTAATTTGAATGAATCTATGAGGATATTAAAAAAATATAACATTAAAGTTTATTTGAAATTTTGATTTTGTTCTAAGAAACTATTTTGGCATACTAATCTTTGTTTCTTTCATATTTGTAATAATAAGATTTTTTAGATTTACTTTAAAGTTCATTTGCTTGCTTCTCTCAATTCCATAACCTCTTGGCATAGATATTAGAAACCATTGATGACTTCTTCTATATGCATAAAAATAATACTTCTATAGTTGATATTGGTAATATGTAAATTTTTTGTCTTAAAAATATTGACAAGCTTGTAAAGATCTACAATAGTTACAAATCTATTCTTACTTCTACCAAATATAGTATATATAATTTTTTTTCATTTATTCCTATAATAAATAAATTTAACAAATCGACTAGTCAAATTAAAAGATAGTAATTGATAATATTTAATATCAAATAAAAATTTCTACAAAATAAAGTAGTCTACTTTCTTTAAAAAAAGAATGAATCTTACAAAACCAAAAATATTAGTTTAAAATTAGATAGTTAACAAGTTTTAAACATAATAATAAGAAGTGAGATAATTTATTCACTTCTAAAACAAAACAATAATAATAAATTAGTACTCTTATCAAATTATTAAAGACATGAATCATAATAAATTTTTTTAAAAAAAATATTCTTATTGCATTCACAAAAAAAAAGTAGACAAATCAAATATAGATATAAGATAGAAATTAGAATGACTATTGCCAAATATAAAGAAACAAGAGATCCTTTGGCTAAAAAGAATACAAAAAAGACATTGATGATAGTGAAGAAAAAGTCACTTAATTTCTTGATAACATATTATAATCAATAAAACAAAACTAGTCACAATCTATTTATTAGATTTTTATCTATCAAAATTAAAAGTAAAAAGTAAAAAAAATATTTTAAAATAAATAATTATTTTATCTTTCCAACGATATAAAAAAATTTAAATTCAAGTTACTATGAGTAAGTTATGATAGGTTAAAGATAGAAGGTAAATAATAAAAAAGTTAAATGAATAATTTTTCTCTCAAGGATAACTTGCTTAAGAGATGAAGTATTCAAGCTTTACCAAGACTCACAAGTAGTATAAATGGATTGTTAAGAGAGGCCACAAGGCCTTAGACTTATCTTCCTACCTATATTTAAGGTACTACAACCCATATAAGACTTGTGCATCTCTTTTTCTATAAGGACTAGACTAGCTATTAGTCCTCCTATTTCCTACTAATAAAACTAACATTTTTGTATTTTTGACTTTACCATGGTGTTTAAAAACACCCAATTAGCCTAGGAACCTTGAGTGGCCTTTGAATCTTGCTTCATTTCTTCATAATGGCTCCCAAGGTGGTAAAACTTAATTTTATCAAGGTCTTGAAATCTTCTATAAAAATTCCTAAAAAATTTGAAAAAAATTTGAAATAAAATTTAAAAAATAATACAATATTTTTATAATGCTAATATCTATTTAAAGCTATATTTTTCTACTATAGTGATTTTTTATAGTAATAAAATTAATTTATATCTCCTAAAAAACTTATGTTTTATATAATTAACTAAAATGACATGAAGTTCTCTTCATGCTTCTTTTAACTACTAACTATTCATTGATAGGATTTTTATAAGTAATAATTGTAGATAAGAGGCCAATAAAGACATTGATTTCAATATTTAATCTTTTATACTTAACAATAAGTAAAAATACTAAACTAATTAAGATAATTGCTTCAAAGACTTACTAAGACTTTATTTTTATGACTTTTCTTCCAATAAGACTTTTATAACTTATAAAAACTTCTAAATTCTAATAAATGATTAAATAATCAAAAAGTCTATTTAGTCTTAATATTTGTATAATTGAATGACTTAAAATTATGTTTTTAACCAATCCACCAATTAAGATAGAGCTCACAAAAGCCAAATAATAATAATCCGGTTTCAATTGGACTTCTATGGCATCAAGCACAAGGGTGGTAGAAAATGAAAACACAAGATATTTATTTCAACTCAAATATAGTCAAAATGTCACCAAATTCAGACTCAGGATGCAGATCAAGATGAATATCATTCTGAATGACATTGTTACTCACATTGGCTGCCAAAATTCATCATTTGTTGCTAATGTTTTCCTACTCCAACTTGACTGAATCAGTGTTCATGCACCTCCAATTGTATATTCAAAGTGGTAGAATACTCAAGTAGGAAAAGAGAATCTGCTGATGACGATTTTAGATAGGATTGCAGGAAGCCAAGCTCACATAGCTATGATTTTGTGGAATTTGGAATTGGAGAGGGATGGGCCTCCAAAGATGTTGAACATTGGATGTTTGTGCACTGAATATCGTACATTTTTAAAAGTCACCACACCTTGACACACTAAGTGTTCGTAACGTACACAATATGCAACGCTAATTGCATGAGATGCCACAAACCACAGTTTCAGAATGTAACTGATTCCTAGTAGGATAATCCACATACTTATCTGGTCGGAATGAAGTAATTTAGGTTACCACAGTACGCTTTGAGGGATGTCGAGAAGACATTTTGTTCACGTCACATGCGCTGAAAAAGTATACAGACAGGTATTTGTCGAAGAGAATTGTCACGTGTCAGTTGATGGAGAACGGGTTAGCAAAGCAAACTCATTCAACAGTCGTGGGGTACGAGAACATGCCCACTTTCGAAGATGCCGCAGAAAACAGGATTGACAATCCTCGTGGACAGTGTTGAGGCAAGACAATTCCAAGGGGCTGAATCAAATAGATAAAGATATTCTTGTGTCTGCTCGTTCTCGGACACTACATACGGAGGTGCCATGTTAATGGGTACCAAATTTTTTATTTTTTCAAACGCGAATCACATCATTGGTCTAGGATATTGCAGCTCACTTCGACCAAATTTCATAAAAATGAGAAATAGCTCCTCACCTTGGGTGAACAAAGAATACAAAGGAGCGATTTCATTCTCTCAAAAACGAAATGTATCAGACAATAACACTACAAGCTAGCGTACAACACTCCAAAGACCTTGTAAGCAAGATTGAGACACCAAGGTTTCGACAAAAAACCTGTCGCAATACAGAAAGTAGGTCACACGCTGGAGAAATTTAGATCCCACTACATCTTCATCTTGGCGCAGATAGTATCTATGTGCGTATGAATGTAAGCAAGCAGACACTGTGTTGCTTAACCTCTATGTTCTCTTCCTCGACGCATCTGATTGAAAACCCAGTTTCATCAAAGTTGCTACAAGCCTAGAGTAGGTCAAGTCACGGACTTCCCTTCGGAAGCGCCTACGCTACGTCGCAGAAGCTCATACAGAGGCCGCCTTTGGGTCTAGAGCTATGAGCCTGACTTCGTACACATTCTCTGCTTCGCCATTGGCTGCCATCCAACAAATCACGCCAAAAAAATCTTTGCTTTAGTTCCAAACGACTTTAACAAGATCCTGTGCAGTCCTATGAGGCTAAACATAAGATAGGCAACCAGAGATTGCTAATGAGGACAAACCATTCGACCAGATATTTGCAAGCATATAAAAGTAGAAATAGACTTTCAGAGGCGTTCTCTAGCACATACTTTGGGAAAAAAATCCAGCGGACCTTCCATTGTTTTTAGAGACTTACCAATCTCGGCTGTCACCCCAGGCCCAAAAAACGATTGAAACTTTGGCTGCAAAGTGAAACAGTCCATGACATGATAAGGTGATGTAAGTGCATTGATAACTTGCTTCGTGATATAAAATAGAGACTTCACAACAAATGATTTGAAATAATAGTGCATTAAAATACAGCAAACAAATAGCAGTATGAAAGCCATGACAACATCTCTTGAAGACTGAGCGTATCATCGCTTTTACATACTAAAATAGAAAACGGATAGTTCAGTCACGCGCACAAGGCAATCTTCTAACACCGTCATGGTGGAATGTTAGATAAGTGCACGTGCTTCTTTATTGCACATCAATACTCAAAGTTCCTGGATACGTTATAAGAGTCTGAGCTTATTGACGCTATGTAGTAACTTGAAGCATACCTGCCGATCTTCAAAATCTGACAACTTCAGGTTCGGGGCTTCAAATACCAATGTAAGGCAGTATTTGCCTTGTCTCACCTGCCAACAAAAGTAATTATTAGATTAGAAAAGCCATGTTGCTTGGCAATGGCATCTGAGTGATCAAAACCAAAAATCTCATGTAAATGCGTACATGCAGATGAAATACAGAATACCTCTTCTCGAATAGATTGCAATGTAGGAGCGTATCTTCTTATGATTCCTCCACCCTACTCAATCACCACAGCAATAATCACTTAATAAAAGATTTCAGGCACTTTTCTAGCCTTCGAATCTTTTCATGTCTATAATATATTATTTATATCAAAGATAGAATATGTGGGGAGTTTGTAAACAACTAAAGCAGCCACTGTAGCTCATCATACGTCAGAAACACAGCCTTGCACCCTCTCTGGTTCTATCATTCAACATCTATGAATTCATGCGTGATCAAAAACTTGAGACATGTTGCTTTCAGTATAGCTCAGCAATAATTTGGTAAAACCAGAAAATATATTGAGTACCTGACCATAACGGAATATGCGCTTCAAAGCTTCCTCGAGATGCTGCTCATCTCCATATCTAAAGCGTGTCACATCGCTCCTTACCTGCGTGTCAGCAACTCATTTATCGAATCCTCGACCGTGTAGCTGAACGCACAAGGAGTAGCTCAAGAAAATCTATCTGAAAAACACTTAAGCATGAAATCCTCCCAAATTCATCGTTCAGAGTACCTAGACTTTCTTGGAATGATCGACACAGTAAATCTACTGAACTTGAAATTTCTTGGCTCAACAGCTCCAAGGAATCGATACTAGTATAACTTTCAATGAAAATAATTGTTAAAGCCCCAAATCACCGCCGCCAAAAACCAGACGGGCTCACTACAGAAGGTTTGGCATACAAACAGAAGGCTCTGCAAATACCTCGATCTGTTCTTGCCTAATGAGTATGGCTTCATATGATTTGTTATTGTTCTTAGTTAGTATTCGACCCCTAAAAAGCGAAATCATGGATGTACCTGAACCAAAATTTCTGTAGCTTGAGCATCACGTAGCTTGAATGCATCCTCGTATGTAATGCAGGGCACAGGCTTCAGCTCTGCATACTGTACGACACACTCCACCACATCACACCACTATTAGAACTTGTGCCATATGTCATGATACAAATCCTACATCTCACGTCCCAGCATAATTCACCCTTGAAATGCTGCAACGAGCCATCCTAAAACATGTCGAGTGTTAAGTCCGTGTGATTTGTCGGTTTGAGAACTGTTGTGGGAAGAATGGTACAGGGGCTTATCGGGCCCTTCACTGAGAACAATCGACAGTTGCTGCTGAAAAAAGAAGCATAATAAGTGCATAAATATTCAGGTCGCAGTCCTGGGAAAAGAGACAGATAGTTGTACCTTGAGAGCGAATCCAATGACAGACAGAGGGAAACCGTAAGTGAGCATAAGTGCTGACACTTCAGACCCTGGTAAGACAGTGAAATATGCTCCGAATCCGTAGCTGGACCACAACAGTATCCCAAATAGGTCTTAAAAGTATGGTTATTAACAGCAAACCTAAAGTCGTATTGAAAGCCCTATACATCCAGATCAAATCACACGTAAGGTAGATATATATTTAGAATTTCGTCAGGACCAATTTAAGAATAATGTTGTGTGGGGGACATCGAAATGTATCTTCCACATGATGACTAGAAGCTTTCAGAGTGAACTTACGACAGCAAAGCAACGCCGACTACCAGTCCGATGGTACCGAAAGATGTCTGCACACTCAAAAATAATATTTTCCGTCATCAATTAAAGGCATTAAGACGTTGTCAGATACATGTTTGTCCCTGGCCAACATCCCATCCATCTTCCAGACCCTATCAAATAAGCGGTTGGTAATAAATTCCTCCGTACAATATCACACCACTGCATTGCAACTTCTTTGCCGCAATCAACAAACTTCGATTATATATAATACCATTCACAGCCTCTTAAATTCCAAAATCTAGAATTGTAACCTTACTGGGCCGGTGGATTCCGACTTAGGAAACATTGAATCCTGAAATAACCACCTATGTAAATGCGAAACTCTTCCTACAAGAGCCTACGAGATTCAGGTGGAGATTCAGGTACGCATGAAATCCTTCCTATCTTACATTCTATAACTCCATTTCATATCATGAGCTGCGTGGTGGAATGGGAAATTGAAGGTTTTCAATCATCCATAGAATCTATCCACGAAATCTAATCTATAATTCCAGACGCTGTTAAAAGGCGATTCGAGTGGTCAAACATAAATAGTGAATCCTTAGAGCAGCACAATTGCGCTTTAGACGGAAGCTGAGCTACAGCTTCTTCCTTCTGCTGGCATTGAACTTCACGAGGTATATTTTTAAAGACGACAAGCCAAAAGTTCTCTGGTTTCTAGATTAACAACTTAAAAACCATAATTAAGTCCATGTGACCTCCTCTATTGCAAATGTTTACACTATCTCGACCCGAATTATGCATGTAAAAAAATAAAAAATAAATAAAAAATAAAAGTAAATCATTCTAAATCCAGCCAGCGTACCTTGGTAATCGAAATCTCAGTGTCTGGAACAGTGGGCTTCGACGACGCCGACGAGCCAGCTTCCACTTGACTCGTAGCGCGAACCACCACAAGCCTCCGCGGCAGAGCAGCTGCAGACCGCAGCGGAGGCAGGGCGACAGCGCAGTGCCTTACCGCCCCAAATTCCCTGTGGCCACAGACAGCCAGCATGGCCTGGGCCGAAGCCACGTTCATTGCCATTGTCATTGCCATAGCTGAGCAAAAACTCTGCAACGGCAAACGATCAGGGAGCTCCAAAAACACCAGTTTTGAGAGAGGCGGTATAAAAACAGAGAAACTTAGAAGGCGCCCAAGTGCCAGCAGTGACGGGATCTGGACCTCAAATTAGAGGACCTCGCTTGTGGCAAGGAGCCGATTCTCGACCCCAAATCCATTCAGGATCATGAGGCAGCCAACAAGGCAGCTTTTAGAAGATAATAGATTCTAGGGGATTCAATCCTCAGGTTTTCTGCCACTTGTCAGTACCCACCTTTCCAAGCATCATCACTTCATTTCCTTTAGAGGTTGACTCGCTTCTCCTGTTGGCGCATCGCCACTTTAGACGGTCATGCAGTTGCATTCACCTTTGCTCAAACATGCGGGTGACGTGTTTCTAACCACGCTTGCATTGTGCTACATGTGATACTTGAGTTTTAATGGACCACTATGGAACTCCTTGTGTTGCTAGCAATCAAAACGATACATGTTTAGCTGACATTGCTAGTATTCTGGTGGCGGTTCTTGTCACCATGTCATACAATTTCACACACATGAGCAAGTGCAAGGGCCAGAATTGCTCCAAATATCATGGACAATGGGAATTGGCAAAGATGTTTAATTACATTCTGTGATGATACAGGGTCGACATAGATAGCTGCAAAATTTCGGGGAATAGGAACCATGTACATAGAGTCATGCACCTCAGCATTAAAAGCTTCTGCGAAAGTCGCTCAAATTTTTCTCAGGCCTTATCGTAGACTCAATGGTTAGGCTACATTGGAAATTCTGTCGTAATTGAAAGAGTATATTGCTGAGATCTACAGAGACTACAAAGACTACGAGTTCCAAGAAAATATCACTCATTGGCAAGAGACTCTTCTATCGGTAAATCAGTGTCTGCTGCAGGGCCAGGTCCCGATGAAACCTTCACCATGGCTGGCCTCAGCAACCTGTCTTCTATCCTGAAGCCCCGACGGAATTCTTGGCTAACAATATCTTCAGCAAACTCAGTTGAATCCTCACGCATAATTGCCTCGTGAAGCTGCAGCAACACACAAGTTTTGCTCAAAGAGAGACAAATAATCGAATAATAACGCAAGAAAAATAAGCTACGTTAAACTTCTAATACCAAGGACTTGCCACACGATTGCAAGTATTTGATTGTAGAGAAAATCATGAACTAAAAGTTCAACCAGATCAGTGAATAAATTACTTACATTAGGGTCAAAGCTTTTGCCGACAGTTTCGATAGCAACCACGCCAAGTGACTTCATAATCTCCACGAACTGCTTGTAAATACTCTGGTAAGCATTATCAATCTTTTGTTCACCCTCAGTCTCAGTCTTAATGGATGTCTTTGCTCTTTCGAAGTTGTCCACGATGGGCAGCAAACTTTCTACAACCTCGCCCCTAATGTTACCCGCCGTGGCAAGACGGTCCCTCTCAGATCGCTTCCTGTAATTGTCAAAATCCGCATTCAGCCGAATATACCTATCTTTGTTTGTCGAAACCTCCCCAATAAGAGCGTTAGCATTTTCTGCTAATGAATCTCGCTCAATAGCAATCGCCTCCAGCTGGCTCTCAACGTCAGTGATGGCCTCCTCATCATTTACAGCCACTGCTTCTCTGTAGGCCTCAAGTAAAGATTTAATAGAAGATGACGTTTCTTCCGCAGCTGAGGCTTCGCTGACATTGTCAACCTGTGCCTCTCCTTTCTTCTCCGCGACTTCTTCTGTTTTCTACCAAACATCGAGAAATCCTTCCATTCAAAAAGACTTGTGATGGTGCAGAAATCCTACATCTTACAGCATGCCAAGCGTAACACTAATAAAAATCTATCAGCTAATCAACAATTTTACCCCTTGACCAACCTAAACGATGTTATCAATGATGCTGGTTTCGGGGGAGTAAAAGAATATTCTAAACATGAAATATTGAGGTTTATACGCCAGAAGCTGAACACATTGCTCACAGAAGAGCGAAGCAGAAACAATGAACCAACATACAAAATATCTTTCCAATTAACAATTTCATTCAGCTCATTATTGAAAAGGCGTCTGATTCCTATTATAACAAAGTAGGACAAGCAGAAGGAGAACTGGCGCACGACTATCACGAGGAAGGTACGACACGATAATTCATGCTTGTCGAGTAACACGGATTCACACAGATCTTACAACAATGTCTAAAACCCTGCATGAATCCTGAATTAGCTTCAAGGTCGGTGAATTCAACGAATCCGTGCTCTTATAGAACCTAAACATAAAGAGATACTGCAGCTTGTAGTTAATGATATCGAAATTCAAGAATCAGAGACCAGCAAACTAAAACACAGAAATCCATTGTACTACTGAGAAAATCAAAACAACAAAAAAAAAAAAAAAAAAAAAAAAAACAGAGAAGTGAAGAGGCATGAGCACGATGTACCTTAGCATCAGTTTGCGCAGAATTTCGAGCAACGAATACTAGCCGCCGGTAACGAAAGCTCTGGACCTGGACTACTCCGCGCCATCTAAAGCACTGAGCACCGAATTGAGCAGGCACAAAAGCTCTAGCGGAGGCCATTCGCGATACAACGATACTTTGCCTGGGAGCCTGGATTAGCGTACCGGCCATTGCAGCAGTACAGGCTACCGCAGGCATAGCTATTCCACCTTGCCGAAGCCTCAATCAAACTTGCGACTAACAATGTATGGTTCTACACCAACAAACGAAGACGAAGATTGAACGCTAGAAGGAGAGGAAATAATTAATGACGAAAAAGAAAAAGAAAATCAAAACAAAACTCAAAAAAAAAAAAAAAAAGAAGAAGAAGAAAGAAAAATCAACAGAAAACAGAAATAAAACACACAGCAACAGCAAGAGATAAGGGAGGGATTTAGCACAGTCAAGAAGAGATGGTTGCCTTCGATACCCATTCCTTCAACCTTGCAGCAGCCTCGACCACATCGACGGAAAAGGCCCGAATGGACGAAAATCGTCGATGAGCAAGTTCTCGTTGATGCCCGTCGCTTGACAACGAGAGGGAGGTCGGTGGATCCATGCACAATTTTATGTCATTTAAAATATATCTATATCTATCTATCTATCTATCTATCTATATATATACATACATACACACACACTAGTTTATTCATCTTGTTTTATTTTATAAGATTTTACAAGACTTAACAAACTTATAGTTTTTACTTCTTTTTTATTAGATTTCAAAGATTTTCTTTCTTTTCTTTATAATTAAAAAAATTATGATAAGATAAATTTATAAAAAATTTAAATTTCTAATTATAAAAATCATTGATGGTCAATTTTGATCTTCTAGAAGTTTCACTTACAAAAGTCTAATCCTTTATATTTAAAATTAGTTATTTTTATAATCTATAGCCAAGGTTTCTATTTCTTTTCTTTTTCTTTTAAAAATTTAAGTCTTTTAAATTCTAAAACCTAATACATAAAGATTCTATCTTCTAATATTTTATATAAAATAGTAATAATAATATCCAATATTTATAATTTTGAATCATGTTGTCAAATTATTTTTGAAATTCAAGTATTATATTTTATTGATTTTAATGTGTTTTTTTTATAGTATATAATTTTGCTACCTATCTAATATAATATTTTCCTCTACGTGTTTAAAGAAGATAATTTGCTTATCGTTCTATCATATAAACAAAGATTAGTATATACATGTCGCGGACATATATATTTACCTCAATAGTTACTTATATGATTAAGTAGAAGTAATTAAAATAGAATAATTTCATAAAGTCTTCTAGAGAAGCTTCCTAGAAGCTTTATAGACGCAGTTTTGACTTTAGATGTATTCGTAGGTTAGAAACTTGGCCAAAAAGCTAACTATGTATTGATAGCTTGTAAAACAAGTTACTTCAGTGTTATAGCTTGTGGAACAAGTTACTTCAGTATTGTAGCTTGTGGAACAAGCCAACTACGTGGCGCATACATAGATAACTTGCCTTATAAGTTAAGACATGTGGCTAACAAAGTCAACACATGTTGGAGGTCCTATAGGACATTTCCATGTGGCTCCTAGTTAGATAGTGTAGATGGAGGCAAGAGTGAAGCCTTCTTCACTCTTGTCAATACCTTTCTAGTCTTAGTCTTGTTTCAAGTCTTTCTAGTCTTCTTATTTTTGGCAATAGCCACTCTAGTTAATATTATATCAACTTTTGAGTGACTTTCTAGTTCTCTTCAATGATAGAAGAGTGTATTGAGGATTCTCTTTCTTCCAGATTCATGTCCTTGACAGTTTGTCGAGAGTGCTAATATATTGTTTCTATCTTGTTCTAGAAGTGAGTGGATTACTCTACTTCTATTATTATATTTTGAAGGTTGTGGACTACCCAACGTTAAACAAAAAATCTTGTTTTCTAACACTGATCTTTTCTTTAAAGAAAGTGGATTATTCCTCTTTGTGGGATTTGTTTTTAGAGGTTGCGGATTATCCTCTTCTAATTTAACTTTTGAATTTGTTTGATTGGTCTATGGAGGGAAAGATTATAGATGCTATTGTCAATAGAAGTAAGAATAGCTTTACAACTATAGCAGATCTTCATGAGCTTGTCAACACTCTAAGAGTAGAAATCTCACATATTTTCAATGTGAATCATGGAAGTACTATACCTACGCCTATGGAAGAAGTTCAGAGTCTGCGACAAGAAATTGTGCAGTTGAAAGAAGCAAGTAGATTAATGTCACAACCAAATCTAAGGAGTTTTGCTTCTACAAGTATGATAGGGAGAAGAATTAGTATGCCTGAGAAGTTTGATGGAATAAGATCAAAATTTCAAGGATTTTTCCAACAAGTCAAGCTTTATCTAAGGTTGCACCCTTTCCAATATCTTGATGGATTTACCCAAGTCAAATTTATAGGTGCACTATTATTAAGAAGTACTCTTTCTTGGTTTGCACCTTTAATGGAAAAAGATTCACGACTCCTTTACGATTTGAATTCATTTCTAGAAGTATTTATAGCCACATTTGGAGAAAGTGATCGAGAACGAGTAGCAGAGACCAAGCTTCTATTCTTATGGCAAGGATTATGATCAGCCACTACATATGCTGCCAAATTCCAAAATCTTGCTTGCAACATGGACTGATATGACAAAGCACTTATTAAGCAATTTTGATATGGATTGAAGGATAGCATCAAAGATTTGTTATTAACAATATCGAAAGTAGAATCTTTGGAACAATTTATTACTCAAGTCATTGCATGCGACAATTATTTATTTGAAAGGCATCAAGAACAAAGATTTATTTGGAGAAGAACAAGTCAAGTAATGGCGGGAGCTCCCAAGTTTTTTGAAACGTATTCGTCAAAGTCAGAACCAATGCAAATTGATATGATACATTTTAAACCTCTCATGAAGCAAGAAAAGACTCGACGTCACTAAGAAGGATTGTGTTTATACTGTGGAGAAGTTAAGCATACTGCTCAATATTATCCAAAGAAGCAACACAATTACAAAATGAAGAGCACAATTACCAAAGAAGATAGTGTGTCAAAAAACGAGTTTTTCCACCTACAATAGGGACCATGCGGCTGGAATCATGTGCAACATCTAGTAAAGGTCCTATCCTCTCCTCAGACCCCTCACCTTGTTTTATAATAGAAGTATATTTAGGACCTAATAATCACAAAGTCTTTGCTTTATTAGATTGAGGAGCCTCAGCATGTTTTATAGACGAAGATTTTGCCAAAAATTAAAAAATGCCTTTAGTGAAGAAAGTTAAATCCCTACATGTAGAAGTCATAGATGGTCGTTCGTTGCCTTCTAGAAATGTTATCCATGAAACTATTCCTTTAGATATAGCAATTAAAGATCATAACAACGTAGTAGTATTTAATGTAATAAAATCTCTCTCTAATTTGGTTATTTTAGGATTATCATGGCTAGAAAAATATAACCCTCAAATAGATTGGATTTTTTGTAATCTTAACTTTTTTGATAGTATAATCGAAGATCACATTAGCCAAGTAGAAGTATGTAAGTTCAGTACATCCAAACCTTTACTAGTAGATGCAAAAGCTTACATGCATGATACAAAAGGAGGATCATCTTTTGCTATATATGCTACACCCATTTCTAATAGTGAAACAATGTCGAGTAGTATTCCTAAGCAATATCAAGAATTCCAAGATGTTTTTGAAAAGAAAAATGCAGATATTCTTCCTGAGCATCGACCTTATGATTGTTCAATTGATCTATAAGAATGAACTCAACCACCATTTGGACCAATCTATAGCTTATCACAAAATGAGTTGGTTACATTAAAGGAGTACATTGATGAGAATTTAGCAAAGAACTTCATACGCCATTCTAAATCTCTAACCGGGGCTCCTATCTTATTTGTGAAGAAGAAAGACAGATCTCTACAAATGTGTGTGGATTATCGAGGATTCAAGAAGATCACCATTAAAAATAGGTATCCTTTGTCTTTGATTTCAGGACTTTTTGACCAACTCAATTAAGCAAAGATCTATACCAAAATAGATCTACGAAGAGCAAATAACTTAGTTCGTATTAAAGAAGGAGATGAATGGAAGATTGCTTTTCGAACTAGGTATGGACATTTTAAATATAATGTCATGCCTTTTGGACTCACGAATGCACCGGCCGCTTTTCAACATCTTATGAATGATATTTTTCGTGAGTTTTTAGATGATTTCGTTGTTTGCTATTTAAATGACATTCTAATCTACTATAAGAATAGAAAAGAACATAAGCTTCATATTTATTGCGTGTTACAAAAACTTAGAGATGCAAGATTATATGCCACATTGGAAAAGTGTGTATTCCACACTATTCAAGTTGACTTCTTAGGATATATCATTTCTAACGAAGGCCTTATGATGGATCCCAAGAAGGTTCAAACTATCATAGATTGAAAGATTCTAAGAACAATACAAGATGTACAATGTTTTTTGGGCTTTGCTAATTACTATCAAATTTTCATCAAGAATTTTTCTCAAGTTGCAGCTCCACTTATACATTTGACTTGTAAAGACAAACTTGAGTGGAATAAAGAAGCACAAGTATCATTTGATGTTTTAAAGAAGGAGTTTATTTCTACATCAATCTTATATTTCATTGACTTCTTCAAGGCATTTTTTATGGAAACAGATGCGTCAGATTTTGCTACAGGTGTCGTGTTGTTACAAATGGGAACGGATGACAAACTCCATCCAATAGCTTTCCATTTGAGGAAATTTTCAATAGTCGAGATTAATTATGAGATCCATGACAAAGAGCTCCTTGCAATCTTGGATTCATTTTAAGAATGGCGTCATTATCTAGAAGGCACCTCAAGTCCAGTTACCATATATACAGACTATAAGAACCTCGAGTACTTCATGTCAACACATGTCTTGAATTGTCATCAAGCTTGTTGGAGTATATTTTTATCTAGATTCAATTTCAAGATCACTTATCAATCCAAAAAATAACAAGGTCTATCGGATGCTCTTTCTAGACATTCTTATCTTGCACCAAAAGAAGGAGATGCATCTTTTGATCAACAAAGATAAATTCTCTTGAAGCCCGAGCATTTTCATCTTCGAGCTATAAAATCAACATTGACTGTTGATTCAATATTTGTGAAGCAAATTCAATCAAGCATGTCCTCTAATCCTCTTATTCGGGATATCAAGGATACTTCCTCTAAGTCCCATGATACTTCCAAGTTTGAATTCAAGAATAATCTATTATATTTCGAAGGACGCCTGTATATTCCAGAAGGTAAAGCCCAATTACGTGTTCTTCAAGCTCGTCATGACTTTCCAACAATAGGACACTTTGATTACAATAAAACTTTGGAACTAATATTTAGGGATTTTTGGTGGCCGCAAATGTGGAAGGCAGTCAAAGAT